CACAGTTGTTCATTAGCCAACAACAGGAAACATGACTGCTTACTGTGCTTAAACTTCTGATAATTAGAAATGCTTAAAAATCCCCCTGCATGTCACATTGCAGCTGTAAAGTATCATACAGATACTATCATACCTGCAGAGAAACGAAGGGCAGAGAGAGATTTGGGAAAATAAAGTGACAGTTAATTCCAAAGTGCTTCAGCAGCAGAAAGGGCGGACTGGAGGTCGTCTTCTGTCACATGTGAACACAGCGAGAGTCAGCAGCTTGTCAGGAGACAGAGACAGACAGAGAGAGGTGAGAGAGAAAGAGAGTGATGTCTATTAAGGTGGTAAAATCTGTGAAAAACGTTTCTTTCAAAGACTAGAATTTGGGTTTAGTTGTCTCTGTGATGCTGAATGAGTTTATCTGGAAACACAGTTTATCCACAAACAATAAATGTGACTGCAGAGATGATTGTTATGTCATGATCGGAAAAAAATTCATTTTAAGGTGGCACACTGCCTATACATTTTTAAATTGAAGAGATCATGATGATGTATGATAGGCCGTTAAGTATACTATGTAACAAAAGTTTAACTTTTTAAACCCTTTTTTAAAATAAATGTGGCTGTTTCATTATGAAATTAAATTCTTATTCATCTGAAGGTAGATTAAGGGCGTAGATTTATTAATTGGCAATTTTAATGACCTTTTCTATTGTTTTTTTTTTCTTGCCAATCAATGATTTGACTAAATGTTAGTGCTCTGATATTTAGAATGGTCTTTACTGTACCAGACACAAACAGGCTTTTTTAGTGCCAGATGTGTGCAGTATAATTCAAGTGTCATTTATCTAGTTGTATGCACAGTACTTCCCAAACACATGCATTTTTGCTAAAACCATATTGTTTATAACTGGACTGAAAGTAAAATTAATCAGTGCCCTCTTCAAACCACTCCACTGAAAAAAAAAACCCCAGTAATTTTATGTCACTGAACACAAGAGCTGCTGGTCTATCACTGCTTCAATCAGTTAGTTTAGTTTATGTTATTGTAAGACTTTGGTGTAACAGATCTACCAGAGTTACACATTAAAGGCCTTTGCACACTGAGTCCATTTTTTCGGGTGCATTTTTTTAAATCTGCCATCCAAAAAAGATCGCTACACACACAAACCTTGCACACTGATTCCGATGTGTTTGATTGCTCTTTTTGTTGTGAAAATTTGCAATATGTGACAAAATGAAAAGACTTTCTCCTTTGTCTGCCTCCACTGGAGTTACCTTTCTGGCTGTCGTCACTTTCTTCCTGTCTTTAATTTGGCACCACAGCTACATGAAGGGGCGGAGCTGTCCTCCCTCTCTGTCTCGACATCCTCGTCATTGTCATCATCATCCACCTGAATATTACTATCTGACCTGTTGAAAGTGAGCTGTCTGAGTCATGAAATGATTCTGTGCCCCCTGACACGGCTGTGTCCCTTCACCGCATTTTCTTCACTGATTCTTGGTCAAACAGCTTCTGATTGATCAGGAACGTGATTGACACAACGTGAAGTAGTATTCATTTTTAGATGTGCGACAATTTTGGATGAGAAAAACGGACTCATTGTGCAAGGCCTTAACACATAGAAACTACAGATTAAGGCAGCATTAGACCAGCAGCTTCCTTGTTCAGCTAAGTAAAATTACTGCTTTTGTCAGTGGAGGTTGGCTTTGAAGAGAGCAATGAAAGTTTCACCTTTAGTTCAGTTCCTTGTCAGAGAGGGACGTCTGTTTGGGAAGTACCGAACATACGACTGAATAAATGACGGATGGATTACACTGCACAAGTTGTGTGACAGTTTGTAAATTGATTATTTGGTATAGTTTTGCTCTTGTTAGATGCAGACCCCTTTACTTTAATTCATCAAGAATTTCCTCTGTTTTTGGATTCTTCGTTCACTGTAGGGGCACGTGAGAAAAACAAAAATTGTATTCACAAATTCAGCTTAACACAGGAGAAATTAATATACAAATTGTCATTTCTTTGGGTGAAGTATTCCTTTAATAATGGAGTATTTAATGTACTTAAATGTAGAATGAAGTCTTTTAGTATTTATGAAAAAACCCTGGTCATTGCATCATTCACACCTGTTGAAGTCATTGTAACTTCATACAATAAGAGCTGGTCAGTAGTTGCTATATGAGGATTTTTCTATTCTTGCAGAACGGGCACAATAGCTGAGCTGAAACACTGAAATCTCCGTCCCTTTCACCCACTTCACATCACTCGCCAGGCATGGGAAACCACAACACATGTAAAACGTGTATCCTCACATTGTTCTGCACCGAAGATTGTTAGCAGCAATCAGCGTAAACAATAAACCAAATGACAAACACAGTGAAAAACTGTCATTTCCTTACTCAAAGCAGCAAGATTCACTTTTTTTTGTTGGGGTTTTTTTTGTCAGTGGAGTGATCAGATCATAAATAAACAATCATCTTTCATCTCAGATGCTTTCACTGCATTTAGTTTCAGGCTCAAATCACAGACAGTGACAGACATATGTGTCTATGTTTAGTCGTGTAAAAACAGGAGGCCAAAAATAACCGCCTGAACAGACGCAGCTCGCCAAGTGATAAAGATCTCCTCTCTATTGTTGGCTACGAGGGTGGTGCAGGGATTCAAAGACGCAACGTACTCATTAGCTGTGTTTGTGTATATGTACGTGGAAGTGCGTGCGCGTGTGTGATAGCATTTTCAGTGTGTGAACAATATGTGTGTGTGTGTGTGTGTGTGCTTGCAGGGGGAGCATGTATTTGTCTGTTGATGTGTAGCTGCTTGAAAAGACAGTTAATTATCAGAGCTTACCCTGCAATTACACAGCTTCTGTTGCACACAGTCCCATAATTTAACCACACAGACTTAAAATCTCAGCTAGAATCCAATAACCTGCTGTTTAACTCAGCTCAGAATAAATACAGACGTCTTCATCTCCTAATAAACAAGTGGAAAGTGGTGGAACTAACTGCATTTACACATGTACTACACTTAAGTACAATTTACTTTAGTATTTCCATCTAATGCCACAGTATTTTATAGGCAAATATCGCAGCTTTCAGTCCTCTGAATGTGTCTGTCAGCTATAGTTATGAGTTGCTTTGCAGATTAAGATTTAGCATACATAACCAATGATCAGTGTAACCAAATATGATGCATAATAATGTATAGCATAAACCAATTAACTCCACTGCAAACAGCAGCAGCAACAAAATGCAGTTTACACTCTTCAAGATGAGTGGTTTTGCTATTTTTGCCAATAATACTTTATTTACTTAAAGCTGCATTACTCAGTATTTTCATATGAACAATAGATTAATTGACTATGTATAATGTTAAAGGTATTCCTCACAGTTAAAGGATAACTTCAGCATTTTTAAACCTGGACCCTATTTCCCTGTGTAAATTGTTCAAAGAGGCTGAACAGTTTTTGAAATTGTTCCAGTATTGAGGGAGCCAGCAGCCGCGAGACAAGCTGCAATGGAAGCACACGGGGGCAACTAAACATCATCACTGTATGTCCATTAAAATTGGTTATTTTTGACACAGAGCGGCTCAGATTGTTATTATAAGTGTCTCTTCACCTTTCACTTGATCCCGTCTGTTTGTCACTGCCTCCTTAAGCAGAAGTCTCTTTCTGAAATATCATGAGATATCACTTGTTACAGGAAAACAACGGTGGAAAATATATAAGTTCTGGAGAGAGTATAGTAATCATAGTAGTTTACAGTACAAATAGTTGAGAGTTATCGGAAAGGATACTCAGTGTCACTGATGATTATTTACCTGATTTCAATGATGTGGATGAAGCTTTTGAATTTGACCGCTGCCAGTTATACGCATTGAAGAGTGGACAAGGAGAGAAAGAGGAAATAAAGGCAGTGGAGGCACTGTAGGATGTGAAACAGGGAGACCGTGAAGTTCCTCAAGTTGCTGTGACCCCATCACCACAGAGTAAAAATGCCTATGTTGTTAAGAGTGGTTCATGATTTGTTATTTCTTACAATGGGGAGATGTGTGGTGATACAGCAGGGAAGGGGATAGTTTAATAACAAAAAGCATCAGCAAGACGTAATTAATATGTAAACAGTAACATAAAAACCTCCGCTGCCTTTTCTCTCTCTCTCTCTCTCTCCTCGTCCACTTGTCATGCTTATACTCCATCACAAGACATACATGAGACACATTTGAAGTCAGGTAAATAATCACCCATGATATTGAAAATCTTTAAGACAACACTTAAATACCTTTTCTATAAACTGCTCTGGTTATTAATCTTTCTCCAAATCTCACACACATCTCGTGATATCTGGTGATATTTCAGAAGGAGACTTCTGCTAAACAGGGCAGTAACAATCAGACAGGATCAAGTGAACGGTAAAGAGGCACTTCAGACACTTATGATATGAATCTGAGCTGCTCTGTGTCAAAAACAATCGCTTTTAATGGTCATACAGTGACAATGTTTAGTTGCCCTTCATGCTTCCATTACAGTCTGTTTCGTTGCTGCTGGCTGCTTTTACACGGGGAGATTTACATGGGGAGATTTACACGGGGAGATAGGGTCCAGGTTGAAAAATGCCGAAGTTACCCTTTAAAATAGGTTCAAGTATAGTTTTGTGACAAGTCCTCTGTACTTTTCCCACTGGGGGAAGGAAGTACTTAGATCCTTTACTTAGGTATGTAAGCGATACCAAAATGTAGAAATACAAGCAGCAGCCCTGCATTTATAATTTTAGTCCAGAGGTATGAGTAGGAACAGGAGGAAAACATGGGAAAATAAGGTCCATTTTAAGGATACTTTACTTGAGTATTTCAATTTACATGACCTCTCTGATTCAGTGGCTATATGTTATTTTTGTTGGGTGGATATGATCTTTCCATTTAAACAATATCTCCTGGTCAGATACATTAAATGCAGGACTTAAACAAATTGTAAACAAAGTTATTTATCATGTGTTTCTCTGTTAATCCACAGCAAACTACGACACCAAGCCCAGAGTGAGCGGTTTGGATACAGAGAGGTAAAACGTGATGTTAATTTTTAAGCACACTTTAATATCTAAATTTAAAAGAATCTCTCTTAAACATATTCTGTTTTTCTTACCCCTGCAGGTGGTGTTAAAAGGAGATCCAAAAAAGTTGAATCTTCATGGGGTAAGGATGTAATTTACATACACACACTTAAGACTTTTATGATGTGAAACAAAAAAAAAAGATGCATGATAATTTCACCAAATGACCGTCCTCACCGTGTCTCAATCCCGTCTTGTCTGTCGCTCACACAGCAGACGTGCGCCGTGTGTCTCGAGGACTTCAAAGTGAAAGACGAGCTGGGAGTGTTGCCATGCCAACATGCTTTCCACAGGAAGTGAGTACAGGAGAGCACAGTGGAGTCTTTTCTGTTTCTCTTGTTAACCGCTTTGCAGCCGCACGGGCTCGTTAAAATGAAGGTGGTCATGTTTGATCCGTAGCTCGGCGATGACAGGAATTACACAGGTAGTTTCTGTTTGATTTATAGTGCAGCACTATAAGAGCTCTTGTTCAATAGTGCTGACGTTCATTCACTGTTCCTGCTTCCTTCTGTCTAGAATAAGGGAGCAGTGAGGGCAACAGTGCAGCAAATAGAATTAGTGCTGAAGCATTCCTGATGTTTGTTACGTGTCTAAAACTGTGATTTCTCTGCAGTCATCTTGAATGTGAGGAGCAATTTTATAACAATCAGAAGACATTAAATGAAAGAGAGACATAAAGAATAATGAAAGTTTAGAAATATATGCAGCTCTTAGAGATCGTCGCAAACTCAGATTGATTAAACTAAAAAAATTGTTACATCAGCTGATTTAAGTTGGCAGTAGGGTGAAGAACCCGGAGGTCAGTTTAAACCGTCACTCTCAAACTGCATTATTAAGAGGAAATCAATAGGAGGTGTATAAAGAAAGACTTTGTGATGTGAAGCGTCCTAACAGAGTGTTGGTCTGTATGAGGAAAGGAGACAGGACAAGTTCCCCCCGGAGTCTAGACACTGTTGGTGGTGGTGGTGGATTAAAGACGGCAGGCGATTGATTGAAACGCTCAGCTGAATCTCCCCGAACATCCTGGAGGTGGTATATTGTGCCGTAGAAGGTCTGAAAGACATTATTGTTATATTTAAAGATTTGCTGGAAGAACATGAGCAGAAAAATCATTGGTTGGACTTTGACAGCGTGGGGAAGCAAAAGTAGAAGCAGGAAGAAAGAAGAAATTAAATCATAGAGCAATAAAGAAAAAGCACGATGGAGAAGCCCACCGTATGAATTTAATATAAATACAGGGCTCTCACGTACTCCTGCATGGACAGTGCTGAGATGTCACCAAGTATATTTATATAAGTGCAATTTTTAAGTCTTTTACTTCAATTTTCTGCTACTTCATCCTTCAGTGTCACTACATTTCACTTACACTTACTTAACTTTTAGCCACTTTAAACAGACATTTTACATACAAAACATATGATCAGCTTATGAAATGCATTGTCATAGATTGAACTACACAACAGCATACTATGAATATAAATGTATGAAGTAAATTGGCTACAAGACAACCAGCTGAAATTTAAGTACATTCAGCCGCTTATACGTCTTGCACCTAACATGAGCTGCTCTCTCAAAGTCAGAAACCAGATAGGTGAGGGTATAAAGTCTGGAGCTGCTCTGTGGACATGAATAGGAGCCTGATTTTGTGGACCCACACAATGTTTTCTTGTTTTGGTTATGCCAAAAAGAGCTTTATTCTGTTGGGGCATCTGTGGCTCAGAAGGTAGAGCAGGTTGTCAACTAATCAGAAGATCAGCAGCTCAATCCCTGGCTCCTCCAGTCTGCATGTCGAAGTATCCTTGAGCAAGATACTAAACTCCAAATCGCTCCTGATGGCTGTGAGTGTGGTAAAAACTGAGTAGCAGGTGGGACCTTGAAGGGTAGCCTTGGCTGCAAGCGTGTGAATGTGTGTGTGAATGGGTGAATGTGACCTGTAAAAAAAAGCGCTCACAGGTCCATTTCATGTTCTCCGTAATGACACAGAAAATGTTCCCATATACTCAGAACATTCCCCTGGGCGCTCTCAGTGTCATCTAGAACATCTTTCCCAGTTGTTGTCCATGGAGCAGCTCCAGACTTTATACCCTATGACATCACAAATTTGAGATTTAGCGCTTGTTGTCAGATTTGGGAGACAGTTGTACAGGTTCGCTAATATGTTTGCACTGTCTTAGGCCAGGAATAACATTTATGAATCATGACTATGGGTGAAGTTCCCCTTTAAAGTGACAATCTCAAAGATCTCTGTTTGTCTTTGGCGACACATGTGGCAATAAGCAGTGGTTGCAGGTGTGTCTTTGGATCTCGCTGCTCTTCACACATCACTCTTTCCTTTGTTTGTTTGGCCATTGTAAGTGTTTACCCGCAAAGCTAGCAGACACCGGATAAAAAACAGCACGCCCCTTCTCACACAAGTGCTTTGAAGAGAAATCTGTTGCATTATCATCTCTGGTAAATCAGCTACTGCTGGATGAAGGAAAATACGTCACCAGCTGTGCGCCACTTGTGATTTTTCTCGGAAATGTGGCCACAGACCAGAACACCCAGTTAGTAATACTGCAAATGCAAGGGCTTTCATCAGTGGTCCAGAAGCTTAATCACATTTGTGTTACCTCATTCAAGGACAGATAGATAGATAATGACTTAACAGACATTTATTTAAACGAAAATCTTGAAGGCAGGACACTTACTTGTAATGGTGTATATTATAGTTATATTTCTAATTTTAAGATCTCAATACTTCTTCCACCACTGAACATGGCTTGCTCAAGTTAAGCTTTTGTTTTGATTAGTGAAACATGTCAAAATGAGTGAGAAGAAAAAAAAAAGTAACTTTTTATCTCTCTCCTATCTGTGATCTCCAACACAGGTGTCTTGTAAAGTGGCTGGAGGTGCGCTGCGTCTGCCCCATGTGCAACAAACCCATAGCCGGCCCCCCTGAGCAGCACCACAGCATAGGGACTCTTCTGGATGAACTGGTGTAACCTCATGTCTCCTTCAAGTCTGGACGGGACGCAGGCGCCCACGCCAAACCAGCTGATATAAAGTTAGCAACCGACAGGAGGAGGGACACTGTTGTTGCTGTTAAAATCACAGAAAAGACATCAACATGAGGATAGTAAGTTGGGGTAACCTAGTTACCACCCAGAGAAAGACTCTGAAGGATGCTGTTGCCTAGCAACCATCTCCGAGATGGCAACACGACACCTTGTGGTGTCTGAGAGATTATCTCCAGCCACCCACACATCACTCCACCACTCTTCTTTCAACATACCCCCCTCTCCACCCGCTCCGTCACATCACATCTTCTCTTGTTGCCTCGAGTCAGGTTAATGGCACCACCGAAGAAGAGTCTCATTTGTCACAGTGATGTGGACAAGTGAGTGCTTGAGGATGACAGCACTGGGTAGGAGGCACTGATCCCCTCCAAGCATGTTTGAGTGTCGTATGTCATGGTGGTCACTGATATGAAATAATATCAATACTGTCTGAGGTTTTAAAAACTCTTTCAGACGAAAAGTTTTGACACAAAGCCACAGAGGAAATTTTCTGCTCAACATCTCTGCCAGTAGCACAGAACATGATGACAGGAGTTACACTGCTAACAATACAGTAAGGTCTTTATAAAAACAACAGCTAGAACGAGGGTGTGAAGGTCCAGTGTGCAGGATTTAGGCGGATATACTGGCAGAATTGAGATATATACTGAACACTTTAAAAGTGAGCACTTCTCCATGGAAATACATCCCCCTGACAGGTGTGGCATATCAAGATGCTGATTAAACGCCATCTTTACTTCACAGGTGTGCCTTGGGATGGTCACAATAAAAGGCCATGTGATATAATATAAAAGTATGTTTTCTTTAGTGTATAATCACCTGGAAATAAGTGGCTTCATTAACTTAAAATTAGCCTTTTATATCTACATAGGGAGTGGGTTCTCGTCTACGGAAATGGCCATGTTGCACCACCATGTTTTGACAGTAGCCCAGAAAAGACAAACCAAGCACTGGCTCTAGATGAGGCCATTTGCATTTTTGCGTTTTCGTGTCAGCTACCATCATCAGAAGCCCCTCCTAGACGAGAGCATCTGAAAACTGCAGATTTTTTAACCTAAAACTGCTTTTTTCAGTGTTTTTACTGGTTTAAATCACTGGATCTGTTGGCTTTAGAGGGGAGGAGACCTCTGTGGATAATTCAGCTCTCGGTAAAAACCTCCCAAATGTCTGGATCTTAAGTTATGAGAGAAAAACAGAGCAAACACTAGCAAACACTGAGAAAGCGGCTTGTTTCTGACACACCAAACAGCATCAGAGAAGTTTCAGCTAGTTGCAATCTGTCGTCCTCACTGCTAGATTCCACTGTATCACCCTAAATCTCACACACTGGACCTTTAATAAAATTGTCTGTAGCCAGACGAGAATAAATAATACTGTAACACAGACATAGATAGGATTTATTAAAACGTCTCTAAAGGAAATTAAAAACTTGTTTAAGAAGATTTGTACCTAAGATTATAAATTCAAGTCACTCTGGTTAAAGAAATGATGTGAAAGGTGGATTCAGGTGTCATCAGGACCTTAATTATTCATATATACTTAGAAGAAGCAGCTGGAGCTGTTGTCCACATGTAGCAAATTAATCAGTATTTCCATCAAGTCAAAGCGATTGATTTTCCTGCTGATACGTGCAACTGAACCTGATGTGTCAAATCCATATTGGTGCCCGCCTCTCCCGTGATACCATGTATGTTCTGCGTGTTGTTTTATTGTTGAGACATGTTTTTATTGTGTTAATATAGATGGAAGGAACTGACACCTCCTGCCTTTCACTGTTGGTTCTTTGTTGAAATATGTTTTTTTTTTAGATATTGCACTTTAAATTCACAAAAAACATGCCTTTGTTCTTCTAAAGCGTTAGACTAAGGTTTGGATGCAGCGCAGCAGGTTCCTTCGTTTTCAGGTGTGGTGAATCGTTTATAAAAGTCTGTGAAGTATTCGAGATGCTGCTTCATCTGAAGAGAAGAGAGGCAGCAGTACAGACGCTCGGTGTTGTTCTGTGAATTCATCTGGGAAGAAACTAAATCTCACTTTCATACATTTCTGTGGCATTATTGCTGGTGGTTCTATTTTTACATTCCTCAAGTGTAGGTTTTTGTGTGTGTGTGTGTTATTTACAACAATTCAGAAAGCGAAACACTGCCTAAAATTGAGCACAAAACTCACAAAGCACATTGTCCCGATACAGAAGGCACCTGCACTGTAATTAAAAGGCAAACACTCACACGTGAGGCTGTTGAATTCACGAGTCTGCGTGCCAAGAAAAGAAAAGAAAATGTCAAAGAGATTTGTTCACTCTGATTCTGGCCACATTCCACATTTTGTTATCCAAACAGATGTAAATAACTTGAAACAATAATAAATACAGTTGTCTGTTTTGTTCAGCTTCTCTCATTTCTTGGTCGTCATACAGTGTATCTGGCGCCATCTTCAGGTGAAATAATGTATTATTCTATTACTGATCCTCAATCTTCTTGGGACCCTTTAAAGCAAGCAAAACTTTATTTATACAGCACATTTCATTCCAGATGGAAGCCATTGGTGTAGATGTTGGAGGGTAACGACATTTCCACCATAAACTGATGCAGAAATGACAAAATTTGATGTGTAAAAATTCACCAGAATGCAGGAAATTAAGTGTTTGGCACTTAATTTACACAATTTCCTGGGGAAGGGTGTCAAACCTCAAAGTTTCGTATGGGTCCCACCCAATGTTGAAACAAAACCTATGCACTTGATGTAAGCACAATGTGCTGCACAATATGTGTGCTACCATGGAAATTGCAGCCACGAACACTATGAATAGTGTAAACATTAGACATAAGTAAACACAGGTAAAATTCAAAAATTAGAATTAAGAATTAAGATCAACAGCTGGCCAGAGAGAATTAGTAAGACATAAAAAAGCACAATAAAATACATTGAATCAAATGGTAATTAAAACCAACAGCTGACCATTTAAAAAAAAAAAATACGGGAGTTCAAACCAATAAAAGAAATAATAATAAAATGAAATAAGATAAAATCATAAGACAGGCAAGCCAGACTACTGAAAGTCAGAAGGAATCTTTAAAGTCCAACAATACTGCTTTCACCCTTTTCTGCAGACCTGTGACAAATAATTTAACCAATTACGTGATTTTCCCTATCAAATTATTTAATGTAAGTAAGTTTAAGAGTCATATAGCAGTAAGGTTTTGTCCTCTTCTTTACTGTCTTGTTTAAAGGGATGAAACTGTTATTTTCATTACACTTTTGATTATCTGCAGAGTGTAGTCCTCAAAACATATGTATGTCTGTGAGTGATTATCCCTGTTTTTGCACCCTTATCTGGGCAATTTATTGATCAGGATAAAGACATTCTCTGCCTGAATATCAATGCTGTTAAATTTTTTCTTTTGTTCAATAACAGCATATAAAATCCTCCTTAAAAGCAAATTTTCTAATAATATTAATAATACACTAGATTATACAGCACTTTTCTGGATGCCCAACAATGCTTTAAAGAGAAAAACAACAAAACAAAGAAAAAAACAAACAAATCCCCCTTAAAATATAGTAAACATAAAAAATAACAACACTTGTGTCATGGCCAGTATCTTACTCGTGTGACATTTTGGATTTTGATACAAATTATGAGTTTAGCTTTGATTGTTGGTGTGAGGTCACATGACTTGAGTACTCCTCCCTCCACAGTCTGTCAGTTGACTGTATTGACTGACACTATTTAACTGTTTGTTTAAACTAAAAAATGTCAGAAAATAGTGAAAAAAGCCCACTGCAACGGAGCCAAAGATGACTTTTTAAACTGTATTTTCTGTCAGCCCAACAGTCTAAAAACCAGAGAGGGTTTTTTAGAGTTCCTGTTTGCTTGTTGTAGTATCATGCAGACAGTTTTTCTTCTATGATGTTGTTTATATTTCCCCAGTGGTTTGACAAATCAGTCGCTGAGATTTAGCAATTTAGACTACAGTAATTGTGAGGCTCGAAACCCACTGAAGATCATTAAGAAAGAATCAAATTATAAAAGGTTAAAGTGATAAAAATCATTAGTTAATCTGAATAAGTATGGATCTGTTATGGCAGTATGAGTTTTTACTGGGGTTGAGCTAAGTGCTCAGATGAAACCAGTATCCGGTACAGATAATGTACTTTCTATTAGTACAAGTATCATCTGAGTAAAATGTGTCAATATCTGTACTTGTGATTGTAACACTTGGTGAACACTAAGAGTGGACTCAAACACACAACTTTGGAACAGTTCAGGTAAAATAACAGTCTTTACTAGTCAACAGGTAGCTTCAGTACACAGAAGGACTAACAGTGAAGGCAAACAAATTCAGTAGGGATTGGGGAGAGTCAATCAACAGGCTTAAACCAAAAAAAACAAGAAAAGGACAAGGGAAACAAAAGGTTGGAACACAAGACACACAAGGAGCTAAGATGAACTGGAGAAAACAAGACACTCTAAATACTCTGGTGAGGGGAAGGATAACGAGACACAGGTGAGGCTAATCAGGGCGGGACAGACAATGAGACACAGGTGAGGTGATCAAGAGGGAGGGAAAACACACAGGGGGAAGCAGTGAAATGATCAAATGAGAGGAGATGTGAGATTTTTAAAGTAAAACAGGAAATAACATGAATGAATTAAATAAAAAAACATAACTTAAGAAACTTGAACTGTGACACTGATGAAGGAAAAATCCTCATTTGTGGAGCTGTGTTCAGTCTACTGTGATCAAAAATTATCTGAAACTCAATCCTGAGATTGTTCTGTAATTAGTTTTCTAATAAAAAATAAATTTTATGATCAACACATATCAATATCACTTTTAAAATAACAACCTCTGGATTGGTCCAACCCATTTCCACTTGAGGCTGCACCCAGTCCCAGTTCAAACTCCACCCATTCACAGACAGAGACACAGATAATTTAGTTTAACAGATACAGATACAGATAATAATGCACTTTCTCATCCTTAGTGTTTATATCAGTTATTTCCTTGATGCTGACTAAATACACTTCAGTAAAATACAAAAACAAGGTATTGAAACAGACACAAAGTAAGCGTATACATTAAAATATAGAAAACAGTAGGGTCTGCAGGTGCTTTTTAAAAGTTATAAAGATGCGTTAAAAGTGTGACTAATAATCTCAGCTTGAGATACAGTGGACCTTACATTTGCTGAAAAAAATGGCTTGATTTTTAAGCCATGTCACAGCCTGAAAACACTCAAACTGTACTTACTAAACACTTTATAAAGCATTAAAAACAACAAATTATCACACTGCAGTTAATACATTCACATTGGACACAAAAAAATCTGGTTTATACAAGTGAACAACGGGGGGGAAACAAAGTAGCAGACTAAAAAATTTAGAGGAGTCAAAGCTCAGGAGTCGACATCTGAATGAAAACAAGGACCATCTGTACGCAGCCTCATTAAATGTGCAAGACCCTGTCCTATTGGTGGGTCCGACCAGTACCTAGCTATTTCCCCGCAGCAGATTGCAGGTGGCAGAGCATCGAAAGTCTGAAGGGCATTCCTTACTCCAGTTGCCTTTTAATTAGACTTAAGGGCAAGGAGGAGCCTCGGGGGGGACCTGAAAGGGGATTGAGGATGGAGGCAGATGGTGTGAGATCTCATATGGATGGAAGTGAACACTGGGTCTGATAGAAAGTGAGAGATGGAAAAAGAGAGAGGAGAGGGGAGGGAGGTGCTGGGAGAAGGTGGACACTGAGAGGATGGGATACTCAATTTTGAGAATTTCTTTTAATCACTGAATGGATGAGTAAATCTCTCTGTGCCGAAAAATAGACTTCCTGCAAGACTACAAAACAAAAGCCAGGGAAAGACAGAGAAGAGGAGACACTTCAGGATGATGGACATCATCGTCTCAACTTTCCTTTGAGGCTCACAGCAGTTGGTGATTATAACAAAATCTTTTCTTTTTAAAATGGCTGTTATTAATTAAAGTGTTGTAGAGTGTTTAATACGTGTTAAAGGATGATGTCTGCATGTTTCATCTCAGCTTTTTGCAGTCATTTTCATCATAAATGTGATGATGACCCACTGTGATTTATCGCCTGTAAGGTGCTCAGCTGAGACGATGGCATGATGAAAGCTCCGCTGTCATTTTAAATAGATGAAAGCTTCTTTTTTATATGAGCCACAAGAGATGAAAGATTGCAGCCATAACTGTGATGTTTAAGCTGATAAACTAGTGATGCTGTGGAAGGATTTTATTGGCGTGCAGGATCCTAAACAGGCTGGATTTTTTTTTTTTTTTTTTTTTTCATCGAAATGACCTGACTTTTAATGGTAGAATGCTTTAAAAGGGTCTGCATGGTCAACACATGCACACATACATCAACACACGCTTGCTCTCTCTCATAAACACACACACACACACACACTGCTTGGGTGGACCTGGAAACATAAGCAAGTCTTTCATGAGATCAGCCTCTACCTGAGCAATAAAGAGCCATCTGTGCTGTGAATAAACTGATGATGGCAACACACACACACACACACACACACACACATGCATGTGGGGTGGAGAGACACACAGAGAAATGCTTGTTTCTGTCACTTCCCACCTTCAGCGTCGTGGCACTGCAGAGTGAATGTAAGGTCAGGTTATTTCTCTTTCTGTGCATTTTATAGCAGCTAACCTGAACCTGACCAGCAGTCCAACAGCAGCGAGAGGAGGGAGACAGACTGGGAATTCAATAATCTGCTTGCAAAACACTGAGGCACATCAGGACGAGGCTGACCAGGTTGGTTGGTTTACTTTCTCCAGCTGTCATTTGATTTGTTAGATGAAGTGAGATTTTCTTCATGATAATTTCTGTTAACTCCTTTGAGACTTTGTCATGTTTAGACCCTTTGCCTTTGCTGTTATTATACGTGCACAATCAACAGCATTAGATCTATCTTAGTGTTTATAACTCAATATCTGACTAATTAATAATACATAGAAAACAGTAGTTACAAACCTGAGAGTCAAGAACCCACAAGGAGTCCCCAAATAAATCTGAGGGGTCATTAGATGCATAAAAAAATCTTTACAACATCATTATGATCATTTTATGTGACTCAAATTTTAGATTTGTGGCCATCTTCAGTGTAATTTTCACTGGGGACAGGGGTACATGCCCCCTCTCTTCAAAAACATGCTTACAAAATCATGCTTAACAAACTTATGTTTAGCCATCTGTCAGATTCTGGGCTGCTGATTTTGCTCTGATACACCCCAAGAACAGACGAGTAGTATATCAAGCATGTTTAGTACTATTATGGCAGAATTTAGCCTTATGACCGAATTAATTGTTTACCGGATTTTGTTGTGGTCATACTCTGGTCCCTAAATGTATTTAAAAATACAGGAAATGGGATACAAATCCCAGTGTTTTGTGATTTGAATCCTGGACCTCCTGATTTAGTGTGTGTCCAGAATTCTTAAACCAAAGTTTGGTAGTCATGCTAGCAGCATGGCTCTATCCATCGTCAGTCTGTCAGGGTCATCCCTGTTCTCACAGTCTGAAATTTTTTCTGATTTTAAAGCTCTCATAAGTACAAAGATAAATGAGTCAGTTAGGTCTTGCCATTGTGCGTAGGTGTTCGAATATTTCTACATGATACTTAGTATCTTTTATGGTTTTTATTGTGTGGTTGTTTTAACTGTAACTTTTTGTGTCCTGCTGTCCTGGCCAGGTTTCCTTTGTAAAAGAGATTGTTGATCTTAACAGGTTAAATATGGTTTAAATGGATAAAAAAATAAACTGAAAGAAATTGGTGAGCGCTATCTTTGCAGTTCAAATTGCAAAACAATGAAAGGAGATGGATGTTTCAAATGCAGTTTGAATGATAATAATCCATCCAGCTGCTGAGATATTAATGTCTAAAGTCAAGGAAACTGGAGTATAACAACATTAGGCGATAAGCTGTAGATTGCCAATTTCACCACTGACCCAGGGAAACATACACTGGCCTGAACATTTGACCTGAGGAAAAGGTTGCTGAGAACATAAAACTCTTTGAAAGGTCTCCTCAGTGAGTCTTAATAAGAGAATACAGAGCTGGGGATCATAGATACACTCCTGGTCTCTGTGTCACTCCACCACTCTGATCTAAACTGAAATATCTTAACTACTGATGGATTACTGGGAAATTTGGTAGACACATTCATGGTCTCCAGAGGATGAACCATAATAACTTTGGAGGTCCTTTAAGTTTTTCTAGCGCCATCATCAAGTTAAAACTTTCTTTGCTTTAATAAAAACGCCTTTAAAATGAATGACATTCCCATCTGTCTCAGGTTGACTTTGTGTTTGGTGCTTATTAGCAAATGTTAGCATGCTAATTTGAATGGCAAATATTATACTTGGTAAACATTACATCAGCATGCTGATGTTAGCATTTAGTACAAAGCACTGCTTATGTGCAGCCTCACAGGGCTCAACAAACTCTATGTTTTGTTTTCCTCTGAAATTCTGGATACTCTGACCTCTTCATGAGTCAGAAAATCCCTTATTGTTTGAACTGCTCAGAGTTTGTGTCCATAACCTGTAAGTATGGGTCACGAGTAGTCTCATTTAGAGGCCTAAATAGTTGGGAACCATTACTTTAAAATGTATATTGTTTTCACTGTAGGGAGTTTCAGCGTTCTGGTGATGTCGATATATTCCCATGCCACACCAACAAATTGATCCAGTAATCAAGAGAAATGAATGATCGGACACCCACTGAAGACACGGCCTGAGGATGTGACAGATATGGGCGACATGGGAAAACAGGAGGACGTCTTGGTTTAGGGACGATGGGCTGCTCATCCTTTGGTGGGTGCATCTCCACATGACAAAAGCACAGTCATGATTTTATAAGCCTCAAGAGTTTATTAACTTTTCAAAAGACAGTCCACCATGTTTAAACGGTGGCTTTTAGCCTTGATGACCCGGGTCGGCCTCATTGTGCTGGGCCTTTGCTGCTGTTTGTTCCTGTTCTACCTCCTCGCCTGTAAACCGACGTCTCACAGCAGCCAGCAGTCTGTGCTGTGGACCGGAGGGGCCACCAGTAAGGAGGGATACATGGCCTTGTTGCAGGAGAGGGAAGACTCTCACAAACATTACATCAACAGCCTGACCAAGCAGATAGCGCAGCTGAAGGAGGCTCTCCAGGAGAGGACGCAGCAGCTTCAGGAGTCCCTGGAAAAAGCTAAAACAAGAGGGATTCTGCCACAGGGTTTGGATAGTTTGCACAAAACCCCAACACAGACTGACCTGAAGGTGGGAAACATGATACAGTAGTAGTAACATCTGCTGATGAGACAAATGAAGTGTGACATCAAATATGTAGTAGTAAATTTTACCTCATGTCCTGCAGGAGTTCTTACGCTCCCAGCTGAGCCAGGCGGAGGTGAACTCAGGTGTAAAGCTGCCCAGCGAGTATGCAGTGATTCCTTTTGACACTTTCACCCTGCGGAGGTGAGTGGGACAGACGTTCATTGGTAAGAACAACAGTAGTACTACAGGAGTACCCCTGAGGTCAAGTCTGACCACATGCCTCTTCAGTAAGTGTTTTATTTGTGTGTGTGTGTGTGTGTGTGTGTGTGTGTCACTCAGGGTGTACCAGCTGGAGACGGGGCTAACGAGGCACCCAGAGGAGAGGCCTGTGAGGAGAGACCGCAGAGACGAGCTGATAAGCACAGTGGAGACAGCTCTGCACGTCCTGAATGGACCTCAGCAACACACTGAAAACATCAGGCTGAAACGCACATACTCCCCTGCAGACTTTTTAGAGGGTGAGAAAGCTCTGAGTTCATTCATTCACCTTCTTTACACGTTCATCCTTGGTGGACACCTGTGAAACTTCTGGAAAAGTTTGTCTTTTCATAGCTGGACAAACACAGGTAGAGAGCCTACATACTAATGCCTGTGATGAATCATCCATGATATCATCAAAGTCCAACAAGTTCTCAATGCTATCTTGCCCAAGGATACTTCTACATGTGGACTGGAGGAGCTTCTGATTAGTGGACGACTCGCTCTACCTCTGAGCCACAGCTGCCCAAATTTGAAATATGAAATGCAAAGTTAATAACTGCTACTTTATGCAGAGGCTCTGGCCAAGGGACCTGTGGGCCTGGGCCCAGTAGGCCCATTGAGAAATCCATCCATGCCGTCATGCATATTTTCTGTCACCACTTTTCAGGCACTGATTTGTGGATTGTTTTTCTAACCAGGAAAAGAGGTGTCAGTAAGCACAACACCAGAGTTAACTGAAACTGAATAAGTCAGTGAGCGATTTAGAGGTGGGTCGCGGATCCATTCTGAATGGACCTCAAGTGACTCGCGAACGTGTCAAGTTTGTGAAAAACAAATTTAATTTTTAAGTACAGTGAATTTCCGGCACAGAGCTTTTATTTTGAAGTACCATTTCCTGCTGTAGAGTGAGTGACTAAGGGACAGCTGTTTGACAGAGATGCTGAAAAAATTAAACTGTGTGGACCTTGAACTAACGACTAAGGAGAAATCTGGACCCCGTGGCTGGAATAGTTGAGAACCACTGGCCTAGAACCAGGGTAGGAAACTAGAGCATGCAGAGGAGACCACAGTGTATACATGCAAAGGTCAAGGTTCAAATTTGGACAGCGTTGAACTGAGACTTATTAGCACTACTGCCAAAAACCAGAATAGATTTACAGTATCGCTGCGTAAAAGGAATTCTTTGCATCCAAACTGAGGGAAAATATGAAATGAATATCCTCAAAAACACACGCTATGTGTCTTGTAAATAGTGAAGTCCTCATTTTGGCTCATAAAGAAGTTTAGTGGCAGCCATTAGGCTATTAAATTGTGCCTGAGAGTGTTTTTATTTGCTGTCAATTTGCATAAAACAGCTGGTCATAACATCCACGCTCTTGCCGGTAAACCAGGACAATCTCACAGCAGCACCTCTGCCTCTGTCTGAAACAGGTGCTCCTTTATTAACGTGATATTTCCAAAAGTTCCTTATAATTTCCTAGAAATTTACAGAGAAAGGACAATATGGTTTGGTACTAATCCTATTGGAAAAAAAGAGCAATTGTTATGAGAGAGTACATTTGTGTTGAGTTTATCAGCAGGAAGCCCATATATATTCATTCATTAATCATTTATTATTGGGAAACTTTATTTTTTCCACATATAATGATTTGTATTTCTTACAAAATTCACAATTTTGCATTTTCAACTAACCTGCTGGGCTCTGACTTAAAGACTCTTAAAGTTATTAATTGTACATAAGTAACTGTAAATGCAGTTTCCCTGTAAGTATTGTCATTTATCACTTATTTTCCACACAGTTATGGAAAAAAATATGGTGCCAATAAAATAAAGTGTTCTCTGTCTTTGTGACAGGACTGACTCGCACAGAGCGGGACAGAGGAACTGTCTATGAGCTGATGTTTAAAGGCGACAGCGCACAGGACTTCACGCAGCTCACACTCTTCAGGCCGTTTGGTCCTGTGTTGAAGGTGAAGAGCGAGAGCGTGAACACGCGCAGCACGCTCATCAACATCATCGTCCCTCTCTCCAAGAGGGCGGACACATTCAGGCAGTTCATCAACAACTTCAGGTATCATGTGGAAAGTGTATCAACACACTGGCACCCACACACACACACACACAGCTATGATTGTATCAAGACATTATTGATCTCACACTTAAGTGGGCTACGTTTAGAAGTGCAGAGTGAATGCTTATCTTAATAGAGTAGCTTGATTCAAATCCAAAAAGACTCCCCTCCACTTCAGATAAGTACTTGTTGTCCTCATCTGAATAAAAGGCTAATTTGTCTCTGGATAAAGAAGCACAGAAGTGGGCCTAACACATTATTTGTATTGTGTTTTTGGTTTAGAGAAGTGTGCATCCAGCAGGACGGCCAGGTTCATCTCACTGTGGTCTACTTCGGTCGAGATCAGATTGACCAGGTCAAAGCCATGCTGGACCAGACCACCAGGTAATGTAATCAAGTTACTGTTTAATCATCAACCAGTGTCACATTGGCTCTGTGTGTTGAAGTAAATGATAGTCACTCACAGTATCCTCCTCTGATCTTAAAGAGAGTTTTCACATGTACTGCTTAAATCAGAGGAGATCCTTAACACAGTTAAGGGCCCTTCATCAGACAGATGAAGGGCTGGTGAATGAGTCTGCTGCTGAGCTGTGTGAAGTCCTGTGGGCCGTCACCCAAAACATACATATGGTGATACGAATAAAATCTCCAAAAGGAGCAGTTTCTGCTGTACAGACCTGTTTTTGTATCCCTGTGTGTGTATCCCTCTGGCTAGCTAATTGACGCCGCTCTGCAATGCACTAATATGACAGTTATTGCTGATACTGGGACTTTGAATATCTTATAGAGCCCATTAAAAGCTCCTGCAAGTATCTAGTCTACACATGTATTCTGTGCATTCTTTAAATAATATGATAAAGCAAAGTTGTGCTAAAGTTTTCGCACTTTGGTTAAGAATTATTTATTGTCCTGGGTGGCTCTCTTTTCTTTTTTATATCTTTTTGTTTGGGGCAGCTGTAGCTCAGGAAGTAGATCAGTCATCCCTTCATCAGAGGGTTGTACTTGTCTAATTAAAATACAGATTTCCCCATAACAGCGCTCTTCTCTTTTTCTTCATCTCCCTCTTCAGAGAGACTCGGTTCAGGAGCTTCACTTTGATCCAGCTGAATGAGGAGTTTTCTCGCGGTCGGGGCCTGGACGTGGGCGCCAGGGCCTGGAGGCGCAGCCAGAATGTCCTGCTCTTCTTCTGTGATGTCGACATCCACTTCACCGCTGACTTCTTGACTTCCTGCCGTCTCAGTGCAGAGCCTGGTGAGAGAGAGATGTATGAAACATTTACACATAGGCTTTTTCAACATCATGCAACATTTACCACGTCTTCCAGAGATGTTTTCCAGCCTTGATTCATAATCCATGTCTGCAAGAATAAAACAGCTTAAAGCTAATAACCATAACATTAATTATGAACCCACAGCTGGTAACTTTTATAAAGGACTGCGAGGAGGCAGAGAAATATGATTTTTTTTCACAGATCATCTGTCTCATGTACTTCTGTGTAAATATATATATCCCCCTTCATGACAACAGCAGTCAAATTTTTATATAAGTCACCCATTTTCATTGTTTTGAGGCTACAAGTTACACATAATTAAGGGTGGGCTGCTTTTAGTGTCTACAGAAAGTGTCCTCAACTTCTCAGTCAAATCTACCCCTTGCCTCTCCATGGCATCAGCCTCTCACACAAATATGGTCACCTCTGGCTCCAAAAATCCAAGATGGCGACGGCTGAAATGGCCAAAACACGAGGCTTCAAAAACCACAAAAAAGTCCACAAACCTATGGGTGACATCACAGTAGCTAGGTCTGTTATTTTTACAGTCTGTGGAATATAGTGACAGTTTAATTAAAGACAATTAAGACAAAAAATACAGCTTTAAAGGTCCAGTGTATAGGATTTAGGGGCAACTATTGGCAAAAAAGGTATATAATATTCATAACCATGTGTTTTTTTAGTGTATAATAACTTGAAAATAAGAATTGTGTTTTCGTTACCTTACAAAGAACCATTTATACCTACACAGGGAGCGTGTCCGCCATGTTGTTCTATAAAATGTCTTCACTTCACATTTTATTCTATCGGACATTTGTGTATAATTTAGTAATAATTAGCATATGAATTTTTGAGATATGGGTAAAAACATATTCTGTGAGGTCACAGCGACCTTTTACCACCAAAATCTAATCAGTTCATTTTTGAGTGCAAGTGGACATTTGTGCCAAATTTGAAGACGCTCCCTCAAGGTATCCTTGAGATATTGCGTTCACAGTAAAGTGACCGACAGACAAACAATCTGAAAACATCATGCCTCCGGCCACAGCTTCATTAACAACAAAGATAATGATGGCACAATAAGCACATATTTCACATGACTTGTGGTTAAATCAAACTATACTGTCTCTGCGAGCAAAATCTCAAAAAATAAATAAATAAAGTTTAATAGAGGAACTCTGACACCTTCTGTTTGATTCATCATCACACCTGCTGCCTCTCACCTACATTCCAGCAGGTTTTTCTGCCCTCGCTGCTACGTAACAAGCAGCATGCAGGAGCGGGCAAATGGAGCTCTGCCAACTCACCTTATTCATATAGCACCATGAGCCTACACAAGGTGTCATAGGGCCGGAAATATGGTGGATAAGGTGAGCGTTGATATACCATAAAAAGAACAAGAAAACTAACAGGGCAGATGTCGATGTCAGCTTTAAAAAACACTCAAAAACAGGAGGATTAACCACATAGTCAAAATGATAATCCATGAGATTCCTTTGATTTCTGTCCACATCTTTAGGTGTGTCATCTCAGTGGTGTTTCTGCACTGTTCTTATACTTTTGATTATTTTACTAATGCTTTTTTTACAGGCTGTACTTGTATGACACATTATCAAATATATGTGACTGGACATTTGTGTGTTAACTGTTGTTGTCTTTAGGTAAGAGAGTGTATTATCCAGTGCTCTTCAGCCAGTACAACCCATCTATAATCTATAGCAATCAGACACTTCTGCCTGCTATTCAAGAACAACTGGTAGGTGAAAAAACCCCAATATAAACAAACAGCTACATTAACTTGAATGTCGTCAAGATGTAAGAGACTAATATGTTCCTGTTGTTTCAGGTGATAAAAAAGGAAACTGGATTCTGGAGAGACTTTGGGTTTGGCATGACATGCCAGTACAGGTCTGACTTCCTCAACATAGGTAATGGAAAAGCTTGTGTCATCCCTACTTTCACATTTTGTAAGACAAAATACAATCAAATATTGCAGTACACACACTGTATATAGAAAAAAAGATGCATAAAAGTACATGATTCTGTGCATTTTATATAAAATTCAACTATTTTCTCTTCATAGATGACACTGTGTTTTTAAGTGATTGCATAATGCAGTTAAAGCAGTTGTACGTTAACAGTTCAAAAAAAAATCCCTGACTGTGAAAAAGCTCTTTTTGTTAGTTTACACCTTTAAATGACCTCTCTCTGCTTTATGCCCTGTTTCTAGTTTAAATACACCACATTAAAGCTGGGGTAGGCAATTTCATCTTAAAAATCACATAATGAAGTTGTGCATATTGTAATTCAAGTGGTCTGAGAGAAAACTGGATTTCTGCACCTCCTCTTAGCTTGGTTTTCAGGCTTTAGAAAGTCCAACCTATGATAGGAGACCTTGGTCAATCACAGATCATTTCAGAGAGAGGGTGTTCTTATTGACTGTTCTACAAATGCAGGTGTACGTGCATGTCCCCTTGGAGAAAGCCTGATTCAATGGTGAAAAATCCTGCTGATTTTTCAGCCTTGGCAACAACTGCCTGCACTACAAAATAACACAAAAAAGAAAGGCAAGAGTCTAAAGAGGGTCTAAAAGAGTCAGACAATAAATGTGTCAATATTAGCGAAGTGTTTCAGAAATGGAGAGAAAGTGTTGCTAATAATTAATCCTTCTGTAACCAGAGCCAAAGGCTCACAGCTGCAGCTTTCAAGTTCACGTTTACGTCGCTAACATTAGCTAAAGCAGTGATTCACATCTGGTGGGTCGCGGTCTAAAAGTGGGTCACAGGTCCATTCTGAATGGATCACAAGCAGGGTTGGAAATCAGCACCAGCTACCAGCCAAATGTTGGTAAAATAAGCAAATAGGCTGCTAAATTTACTTCACTCATCAACCAAAAAAACAATGATAATCTAATGAGTAGCTGGTAGATTTTGGAATCCACTAGCCACAACGGCAGGTGGACAGTGGCTGGACCAGTTGGGAACCACTGAGCTAGAGCATCAGATCACAGTGTGTCCTCCGCCTCACTCCATGCCAGGAGAAGAGTGGGCAGCAGCTCAGGAGACAGACCCCCAATCAGTGGCCACAGCAACCCAAATCCTGCCACCATAAACCCCAACTTTTGGGGACTGGACAGCTGCAACTCCCTACTGGAAAACTCTCTGTTGCTGTTGTTTCGCAGGTTAGACTCTGTGCTGCTACTGGCCACCAGCCCGCTTTGAAACACAGTGTTAGGGGGTTTGCAGTAGCCAAAACTGAGTCGTTGCAGCCATCGACTGAAGCTCTGTCTCCTGAGCTGCTGCCCACTGTTCTACCAGAGAAGCAGTCCACAGCTGCGGGGAGTGAGGTGCAGAGACTTTGGGGGGGCTCGCTAATTCTTGTCTCATTTGTGGTCCGATGAACAGGAAGAGAAAGAGAGGGGGGCAAAGACGGGCTGAGTGAATATAATAAAATAAGACTAAATAAATCAGTGTATGGGCAACACTTGGTTACTGTGTGAAGCGGGTGCACGTGGTCGTCTGATGGTCAGAGGCTTGGGACAGAGAGGGGAGATGGAGAAGCTGTAGGGGGAGGCTGTATTTTCCAATGCTGTCTGGGTTTTTTCGCCCCTTCCCAGATTTCTGCCTACTCCAGCTTTAAGGAAACAAGAATCTCTGAAAACTTTAACTCAGCCATTAATCAAGCACACCTTAAGTTAACTCCTCTACTTCCTGACAGGTGGTTTTGACCGCAACATCAAAGGTTGGGGGTTAGAGGACGTGCACCTGTACAGGAAGTACCTTCACAGTAAGCTGATGGTCATTCGTTCTCCGTCTCGCGGCCTCTTCCACCTGTGGCACGAGAAGAACTGTGCAGACGAGCTCCCTCCAGACAAATACAAGATGTGTATGCAGACCAAAGCCATGAGCGAAGCCTCACACGGCCAGCTGGGGGAGCTGTTCTTTAAAAGAGAGATTGAGGTTCATCTGAGCTCTCAGAGGAAGACAACCAGCGCAACATGATGAGGACAGTAAAAGGACTTTGGCGGTGTTATTAATCACTGCTCTGTGTGTTCTTGTTCTCATGATAATTTATGTTTACACACATTATTCACCTTCAAACAAAAGATGATTAACTGTGATTATTGTTCTCATTATGGGCACATACACTTGTGCAAATATTGAATGATATATTTTGTGTGAATAAAAGTATGATCTACTTGTAAGTGGGTTTTTTTTTCCATAGAAAAGTCAAAGAGGGAATGTGGCTTTATTCTGTTTTGACCCCTCTGGAAGCAACAAAATATCCACTGCACACTTTACACTAATGAGTACCATAACAGGGGAAATAAGTTAGTTAGTTAGTTAGTTAGTGGTAATTTAATTCAATTTCCCAAGAGGAATGCACATAATAAAGAATAAATAACATCAAGGTATTACATTAAAAAGAAAAACAAAAGGGAAACAAAATATTTAGACCAAAAAGGTGCAGGCTGAAGCTTAAGTTCAAACCCACTCTCATGAATAAATCATTCACTACTAAGTATAAGTTATGCAAAAGAAACAAATTAAAAACAAAAAACAAGAACAGAATCTACAACAAAACTGAAACATTTCATAAAAAATAATGATCATAATCATTTGCTTACCACCACATTTTAAACACCATTTTAATTTACAGAGTGAACTAAACGGTTTTAATTCCTTATCACAACCATCCTCTCTGACAGACACACATCTATTCTTTATGTTTGTCCTCACCCTTGTTTTTTAATCACACTTAGTCCCCTAAATTCATACAGGCTCTCTTTCATATCAGATAGTTTTTGAATACAGTTAGGAAGCAAAACATTTTTATTTTTATTTGTGTACATTATCTGTGCAGTTTTCAAATAAACTAGAGCAGAAAATGAAACATGTAAGTTAATAAATAGCGTTGGTTGCATCATAATAGTTTGATCCACTCACAGTTATTATAGTTTTCTTTTGTAGCATAGAAACTGGAAAAGTGTTGGTCTTGTAAAACCTGATTTGCTTTTTCATCATGCCCATACAGAGGTCTAAACAAACTGGCACCCAGCTATGCTGCTGGAGGGAATGTGGAGAAATCATGGTTGGCCATGCCCATATTTTTTGTCTTGTCCACTGCTAGCCTTTTTGTTAATATTGTTAAACACTTACATCCTCTGGAACAGATGACCTACTCCATACAACTTCAAAAAGAATTGGGAGGAAAAAAAGTAGAGAAAATGGTGTGTTTATTTAGGCCAACGAGACAGACTCCACATGATTATTGTATGTATCATATATGAATCTTTACATAATTTTTTTGTAAACATCCCATGACCCCATATTTATCTCTTTCTCCTATGTACTGCTTTCCTTTTTTTTTCTTTTCTTTTCTTTTCTTTTCTTTTGTTCCTATACAAGAATGTAAAAACAATTAAAAAAATTGTTGGTTTTATACATGTTTCCCGGTACCCACACACAGTAGATTATGTGTGGAACTATAGGAGAACAATACAGCATATATTGTGACTTCTAGGTCAACATGTCTTTAGGTTTTACATAATATTGCAATTGTTTTAGACATTTTTGGTTTTACATTGTTTATGTCGGTTAGGGTTAGGGTGGATTCCAACATAATTTATGATCAATTATCACACCCAAAAATTTATTTTCTTACACTTGTTCAATTTCCGTGTCATTTAACATATTTTTTTTAAATGATATGACAGTTTTCAAACTTTGTTTTACTTAAATTTAATGATGACTCGTTGATATCAAACCATTTCTTTCAGACTTTTAATTCCTTTTCCACTGTATTCAAAAGCAGTTCCAACATTTCCCAGAGCAATATGAGTTAGTGTCATCACAACATTATAAATAACTTGAACTGCATGTGGATTTTCTTGTTCCTTCCTCATTAATATCTATTGTGAAAATACAGGCTAATGTTGGCCAAATGATGACACACAAAAGAGCAAAGATTTTCTTGCCAAACTGACAGTGAACTCAAGCGCAAGAAAGCTTTCTGGAAACGCTTTATAATGAGGGTGCAAATCACATAGGCTATTTATGTAATGATACACTGATGCATGACTCATGAGGATTTTATGCATTTATGAGTCATGTATTAGTTAGACATAAAGTAGCCTATATGATTTGTGCCCTCATTACAAAGTGTTACAAACATTTTTAATATAAATGACATGTCAGCCTGAGAAGCATCACCACATATTTTCACTAAAAAATGTGTTTCACTCACTATATTGAACTAATATTTAACATATTGAAGCGTATATATTTGTGTGTATTAGGTGTATGAGTGCAGGTAGGCTATATGATGCATATACCACCTTAACATGTGAAACAAACATGGTTGTAATTCCCCCACAGTTATATCTAATCAATATGGTGCACCGATGAGGAGACAGTGCACTCTCCTCTATTAATAGTGATGTACTGATGTCACCTTACAGACGCAGAGGGAGGAGCAATCGTGCATCGGCCGACGGATGTCGTAGCGTCAACACCGGCACGCGATAGGCCTGGAACTCCTATTACCGCTTCCCTGTTCTGTGCTGCATTCATATACACCTGGGAAATTCCAAACAAACTCTGCCCAATGACTTCACACTGGACACTCATCATTCTGTTAACTTGACAAACAGAACTTTGCCCCGGTCAGGATAGATGTGATCACCAGGGAGCGGACAGCAGACAGTAACTGATTACATCAGCTAACATCAGTGGTGGAAAGTAACTAAGTACATTTACTTATGTACTGTATGCTTAAGTCAAATTTTGAGGTAGGCTACTTGTAGGCCTACTTTACTGAAGTATTTCCATTTTATGCTACTTAATATTTCTCCCCTTAGTCACTAGATGTTTGCAAATTTAATCTATTAATACAAAATATCATCAACAAATGAAATATGATATATTATTATTATTATTATTATTATTATTATTATTATTATCATTATAAGTTACGATATCCAGAAGTATATAAGGTAATTACAATTAGCTCCACCTTTACCAGCTGCAACACTGAAGTGATACCTACAGTAATCTATCAATAATTAGCCTATAATCCAATAATATATCTTATATTATTCTGAACCATGTCATTCTGCAATTAGTACATTTACCAATGGTACTTTAAGTATATTTTAATATATAATCTATATTTTAATACTAATACTTTTGTACTTTCACTTAAGTAAAGTTTTACTTGTAACAGAGTATTTCTGCATTGTGGTGTTACTACCTTTACTTAAGTAAAGTACTTCTTCCACCACTGGCTGACACACATAACAGAAACTGATAATTTTTATCATAAAGAAAAAACAGAAACCAAAAGAATTCAGAGAGGAGAATAATTTTAATTTAAATCATTATGGAATTTTTATAGAACTGAAACACTCAGTTGTCAGATCCTTGATTATAATATACTGATAGAAATTTAATCGACAACAGCATGGCTGAACTGAACTGAACTGAAACAAAAGTTCAGATCTCGGGAGGTCAATGTATGCACCAAATCCCAAAGCAAATTGTAAGTGAAAACCAGCTTGCTAATAAATCTTACTCTGATCCTAATTATTAATGAAACACTTTTATTGCATGTTTTAGTAAACAAAAAAAAAAAAAGTGCTTTAACTTTTACTTCTCGTCATTGTGATGAATGGCACTCTTACTATCAAACTTTCTCCACCCACTCAACGTCACAACTCAGGAGCCAAGTTTTCACATAAAACTACAGGCTGCCTGCTGCGTTCACCACTCTCCTTGTTTTTCCCAGCTGCACGTGAAGGCAGCACTAATCACAACGGGAGCGGAGCGCTCGCGGCGCTCGTACCTCACCGGTAATGTGAGTCTTATCCAAGGACAGGACGGTATTATGAGCTGAAGAAATCCTGCTGTGTTATGATGTTTTGTGAGCAGCTGAGAGGGTGAGCGGCTCTTCACTGTGTGGTGGTGTTAGAGTAGATTTAGATTTTAGTCCAGTGTTTTGTTTTGTTTTTTTTATTTACTGTGGCCTATAAATATTTTTTAATCCCCTGGTAGTTTTAGCTTCTCGGACAGCCCCGGAATTTGGTGGTTGCACAATGACTGTGTTTTAATTTTGTGCTGGAATAGCGAGACATGTGCGACAGATAGGCTGCGTCTCGTGTCGCCTAAAACCAGCCGGGACAGACGGGACAGGACATTTTTCACAACATCAGAGTGCAGAAGAAAGAGACGCAACATGTTTGAAGCTGCAGGGATCCCTCTCATCGTGCTGGACCTCATCTGCCTCACCCTCGGTATGTAAACCCGACCCAACCCTGTGTGTTAAACCAGCCTTTTAATCCGTTTTGTTTATTTATAAAGACATTAGAGCTCGTTAAAGTTGACTTTCTTTGTCATCAAACTCCTGCAGCAACTCCTCTGGTACAGACACAGCCTATTATATGAAGCAGTAGTTTAAACAAATCCATTCAAAAGATTTGCATACACGTCATATACGCATACACTGGGAGGCTTGAGGTTTTAGGGATCCAGGCAGGAAGATGGAAAAAAAAGAAGGCAACAAAGTCCCACCCTGTGTGTGTGTTTTTTTCCAAGCAAAGCTATATTTTTAGCTCAGTGTTTGTAATGTAATCACAGGTCAGAGACAAGCTGCAGCACTGCCCAGTGTTACTGACAATACTGCAATTAAAGGAACCTTTGCACTGCATGGGGAGACGCAGACAGCTCAGTTTTACAGCTGTTTGATAAAGACAGACAGGGTTGGACACACATGATTAATCTGCACTCACTTTGCTTAGTGAGTGTCTTGCGGTCAGCTGTGTGTTGCTGACTGTGCACCAGCAGATTCATCTTGTTTTGGAAACTGGGTAGTGTAAACAGTAATTTCCAGTCACCTGTTCAAAGTATAAATATGACTCTAGTTTATCATAAATCCCTCTTTTATATTTTGTAAATGCTGTGTCATACAATAAGTAGGACACTCCTGTAAAATCAGTGCTGGGAAAAGTATCCCCCCACGCTCAATTATAAGCCCTGCATTCAAAAGTGTACTCAAGTACAAAAGTGTAATAAGTAAAATGTGCTTAAATTATCAAAGTAAAAGCACCCAAAATGCTCTCTGTGAATGTTATATTACCAGATATTATACTACTGGATCATTATTACTGATGCATCGATGTGTAAGCAGTGCTTTTTTGTAATTTTCTTTTTAGGCTATTTAAATTTAAAAAAACAAGAAATCATCAGATACAAAGCCACTCGTACAGGACACTTCTTTAGTAACTGACAAAACAGCACCGTGCGGACAAATAAACAGACAAATAATGATAGAAAAAACACTACCATTTAAACAAACTAACTAACTAACAAACAAAAACATGACTAAATGAATGAATGAATAAATAATAGTAAGGTCCAAGTGTAGCAGGTCACCAGGGTGCAGTTACCTAGTTACTGCTTGGCAGTATGATTGAACAATTGTATCACAACATATTTTAGGATTTTGGCAGTATCACAGTGCATCACGGCACCTCTTTGAGTATCTAGTTTGAGCATTGAATGCATCACCTCGAGGGGCTCACAGCATTACAGCACACTTAGAGTTACGTAAGCATGTAAGTATTAGTGGTGTACATGGTCAAGGTGAAGCTTGTTTTACATATAGGTGACTCCTTTGTCATTAAATCAATAATATGCAAACAATTTGATGTTTAATTTATGTCAAGTTAAGTTAATATACACAGTATTTAGTAACTAGAGCTCTCAAATAAATGGGGTGGAGTAAACACTACAATATTTGTCTCTAAAATGTAATGTAAACAGCATATAGCTAGTAATGGTAATACTCAAGTACAGTAACTAAAAATTGTACCTGAAAAAATTGTACGTGAGGACGTTTTATCATTGTATAAAAGTCACATAAATACTCAGTTAATATAAGTTTTCTTTATTTATAGAGTAATTGCTATTTCCTTTTTAACTATGTCACACAACTGTTGTCTTTTAAGATGTAATTTCTCTTTTAAGTGCATTTGATATTGTTGAACTTTGCCTGTTTTCTGAGAACATGTTCAGTTATTTGTTTGCATGATTAAAATTTCTAGCTTTAGTGCATTGCATGGATGTCTTGATAAAGGCCAGTGGACTTTAAAACCCCAACAGGGACACTGATGGTTGTTAATCCTGGACTTTGTTGTTCTGTCCTTGATAAAATCAGATATGTTGGGCTTTTACAGCTATATTAAAATGTTAAATAAGATAAACAAAATCAAGGCAAACATCCAGGTTGAGTAAAGTCACATAAAAGTTCTTTAATGCATTAGATATGTCACAATATCTGTTGTAATATGTATGAGTAAAATTTTAAACACATTTAGCAGAGGTACAGACAAACATTTCAAACTCCACATCTCTGCTTCACTGTCTGTACTTGGTTTGATAAGATAATGCCTTTTAATATCTCCATGTCTGGATGCAAGATGTATGTTAATCTGCATAACTCTCTTGCAACAACTGCAACATAAAGGGGATTCACACAGAGGAAACACACTCAATGATTTAATACCTACATACAATCTAATAAAAAACTCAAGTTGCAGCAAACTGTCAACTAAAATGCAGATATTTATAACACACAGCTGCACAGAGGAAAGAAGGAAATGATAAATAGAAACAAAGAGAAAGTGGTTATTCTTCCTCAATATGTATGCTCCTCTCTGTCTTGTTGTTCATAATTGACTGCTTTGTAAGTGGAAGCCAGATCTTAGCTTCAGTAGATCATATCTTTAATGATTAACTATGTGATCAGATCAGCATAGCTCACTAACGTCACTGTGAGTTGTAGTTTATCCAGAATTTTAAAAGACAGCAGTCAGTGTAATTTCCCCTGCACTGAGTTTAAATGAACATGTCTATACAAGGTTCTGTGACTGTGTGGTGACACATAAAGCCAAAATCTACCATAAGCAACGATCATAGTTTGGGGAAGTTCCTGTCTTCCTCATCTCCGTACAGTTCTGTAATACCAAAGCCAGTCGGAGCATGTTTTATGTGCTCTGGTTACAGATTAACACCATAATGAATCTCCTCAGATAATCACACCATCTTTGCTCCAGTGTCAGGCTTTTGCAATGCTGTTCTGTAGTAACTCCGGGCCTCAAGCACTTCATTCTGTTATTGTGCAACTTGAACAGTATTTTTTTTTCCTTTGGAGCTAAATGAAACACACAAGAGTCACCAGCTTGTTTTCCAAAAGGGGAAATGCCTGCGTGATACCAAAATGTCACGTTTCCTGTGACTAAAACATAAAATAATAGCATTATGTAATAGCAGCGATCTGGCATCCATGAGTATTTGATGTGCATTTTGATGTAAAACAAGCAGAAAGGTTGAATTTATACTTATTATCTGCGTCTTTTTTTCTTTTAACAGTTGGACTCCCATTTTTTATCCTCACCCCTCAACACAACCCTTTCAAACGCGGGTTCTTCTGTAACGATGAGTCCATCAGATACCCCCTCAAAGAGGACACCATATCCTACCAGCTGTTGGGAGGAGTCATGATCCCCTTCACGCTGATCGTGGTACGTCAACAGTCGTCTTCTTCCACAAGCTCTCCGACCTTTAAATGTCAGTTGTTGAGTTTACTTATCTCTTCTGCTGTAGATCGTCTGCGGCGAGTGCCTTTCTGTTTACTTCTCCCGCATCAAGAACCAGTCTTTGGGGACCAAGTATGTGGCGTGTGTCTACAAAGCTGTGGGGAGCTATGTGTTCGGAGCTGCTGCTAGCCAATCTCTGACAGACATAGCCAAGTATTCCATCGGCCGTCTGCGGCCAAACTTCCTGGCTGTGTGCAATCCAGTCTGGAATACCATCAACTGCAAAGCCGGCGGATACATAGAGAACTTCACCTGCACTGGAGACAAGTTCCTGGTGGATGAGGCCAGGTAATAGTCCTGAACATGAAGTCAATAAACCCCCCCAGAGCCACCTCTGAAAAACCAACATTCATTCATATTTTATTACCTTTGACTAGATAATAACATTGTTAACACTGTGTATTAGTAGAGTCTCACTGGAAGGAGTATGATAGTCCAAGAGTGCTCAGTTATTTGCATTACTTTGTGACACATGTACCCTCTGGACTTGACAACATGGTTAACTATCGTCCGATATAGCAAAATTGCTCCTTCATTTTCAAGCTGGCGTGCCCTAAAGGGATTCTCCAGTGAATAAAGGAGCTCTATACGATACTCAGAGCATTAATATAGCGGCAAACAACTATGTGCTATGTAAAGATAAAGTGGAGTAATGGTGTCCTGAGCAGAGACTGAAGTGACCCTAGAAGAGATTTAAAAGAGATCACTGAATCAGCCGACCTTATTTCCTCGGGCAATTTGTTCCATAGTTTTGGGGCCCAGACTGAAAATGCTCTGTCCCCCTTAGTTTTCAGTCTGGACTCTGGGACGCATAAAAGGCCTTTGCCCGAGGAACGTAAAGTGCAAGTAGGAGCATATGGTGTTAAAAGGTTGGTGATATAACTAGGACCGAGACCGTTGAGACATTTAAAAGTGAGCAATAAAATCTTAAAAACAATTCTAAAACGTACTGGCAGCTAATGTAGGTGTGATGTGATCGTGTATCTTAGTTCTGGTTAAAAGCCTCGCAGCAGAGTTCTGCACCATTTGTAGTCTGTCCAGGGATTTCTGACTTAGACAGGTAAAAAGGCTGTTACAAAAATCGAGCCGTGATGAAATAAAAGCATGCAAAATGGTCTCAGTGTCTTTAACAGTTAAAAAGGAACGGATCTTTGAAATGTTTCTGAGCTGATAAAAACATGATTGCACTAATTTTGTAGTGTGATATTCAAAGGTAAGATTACTGTCAAATCAGATGCCGAGGTTCCTTGCAGTGGTGCATGTACATTCCAGTCCATATGGCTAGGTAATCACCATTGCTCTGCTTTGTGCTCAAATGGCGGTTACCACTGATAATTAGACAGTGTTGTTGCAGAAGTGTAGTGCTCACCCTCTGGTTCCCCATCAGGTTAACACTGTTAGCTCTGTTAGCACCATTGCTGTTAGCAGTGTTTGCACTGTTAGCTGGTGGTCGCTGGTTCAGCCACCTTCATGTTGAGAGCCGTGTGCAGACAACCTCTGAATCATAGATATGCTTTGAATATTGTAGAGAGCAGTGGTTCCCAACTGGTCTGGGCACAGGGTCCAGATTTCTCCTTAGTCATTAGTTCAAGGTCCATAAAGTTTAATATAATCAGTGTCATACTTGCCTTTGGTAATGTCGTTGAGCTAGTTTGCTGTCCCTGTAAAGTAGCTATCTGTCATTCACTCACTCTGCAACAGGAAATGGCACTTCACCATAAAACTGTGTGCCGCAAATTCATTGTAAAGTAATGTGTGTTTTTTAAAAACTTGACACATTCACGAGTCACTTGTGGGCCATTAAGAATGGACCCACGACCCACTGTAGGACCACAGCCCACCAGTTGGGAACCACTGGTACAGAGCTCCTCTAAGTATTGCAGTTCCATATAGTTGTAGCACTTGCAAGAGACAGATTAAAAGGACAATAGTAAAAATGGATGCAACAGGCCAAGATATGTCCTGACTTTTCAATTTTAAAACTCTGAATCATGCTGTTCCCACAATTCAGATCAATAAGACAAGATAACTTTGATCTTTGCTGGGGAATTTAATAAATGTCACAGCACCAGATGTACAAGGACAGCCACATAAGTAAGTAGCTTAACTACATATATTATAATCATCTGGTATTTACGAATAAACCACGAAAAAAAAGGTATTTAACACTGAATACAACACAAACTATAAACTGTGTAACAGTGTCTTTTCGTTAGACCCTCAGTAGAGTTATTCTCTCAGATAAGAGTCACAGCAGACATTATGCAACAGTTTTCACAGCATTCTGACTTGATGAAGCTGATGGTGTCTAATTTCATTCAGTATCTCTTTTATCTTTTGCAGACTGTCCTTCTACTCAGGTCATTCATCCTTCTCCATGTACTGCATGCTGTTCCTTGTAGTAAGTATATATTCTACTTCTAAAATGTGGCTTACATATAAAAAAAAATGTTAATTCTAACATATAGCTTTGCTTTATTTGTTTTCCTGTCCATACCTGGTTTCACAAGCTCTTGTAGTCATTTACTGGTAAATGACTTGTTTATGTCATTGTTAAAACAGTATAGGGATCATAAATGACATAACTCTCTTCTGCAAATTTGCGCTAGCCGCCAACACCTGTACTGTAAATATGTGCTTGAGCAATAGGCTATAAAGCGCATGCCTAGGTGTGACCCCACAGCTTTTTTGTTTCTTTTTTTAATCATGTCCTCTCCCTCCTGTAGCTGTACATTCAAGCCAGACTGAAGTCAGAGTGGTCGAGGCTTCTGCGTCCCACCATCCAATTCTTCCTGATTGCCACTGCCATATATGTGGGTCTGTCCCGGGTGTCTGACTACAAACATCACTGGAGTGATGTGCTCACTGGCCTCCTGCAGGGAGGCTTAGTTGCCACTCTCACAGTAGGTTTTATCTAAAGATTAAGTTTTATTTGTTAGGAAAGTGGCAAACACATCACATTTTTATGCAGTATTATCACAATATGCAATTGAAAGGGGAAGTCAGCACCTCTTAAACTTCTCACATGCAGTTTTCTACTTTTGTTTCCTCCTTTAAGGAGTTCTAAGGTTAAAAAAATAATAATCTCATAACATGATGTGTCTGGCAGTGTTGTACACTATACATTCTGTATCTGCTTGTTCCAACTATTCATGAAATATTTAAACCCAAAACTTCATATTTTATGACTGCACCATTCAAATCAAGTGGAAATATTCAAGATATGTTGGATATGTTTGGGATTTCCATTAGAACTGAAAAACAAATGTCTGTGGGACTGAACAATGAGTTTCTCTCAACTCACATAGCAGTCAGTCGCTGAGAGTGAAGACATAAAAATACTAAATTATTACAAGGATGAATAAATAATTTATTAAACAGGTAAAAGTTAAAAATAAATAAAGCATTTTGCACAGAAACACATTAAAGAGGTCTTCGATGGTGTTCAATTACAGTAAGACGAATGTGTTTTAATTGTGTTACTTCTATTTCTGCAGGTGTTCTGTGTGTCCAATTTCTTTGAACAGCCAGTGGGCCCAGTGGTGTCACAGGAGGAAGCCTCACACACCAGTTTACAGGAAAACCCTTCCAATGGGAACCACTACGGCAGCACTGAGTGACTACGAGGCCTCAGAGACAATACTGTATAGGGCTTTTATCCCCTTAGGGAGGACCTAAAACACAACAGTGACCTGCAAGTGTTTCTTGCATTTCTTCAACACAGTTTGCCCCGCAGAACCGATGCTGCAGGATTTAGCTGCTATTTTTGGTGTGGTTGGTAAACTTTGATTTAAGGAAGAAAAGTGCACTACAGAAGAGGGTTCTTGCACTTTATGGGGATATAAAGAAGCAGAACTTTGTGCCGGTAATTCCAACATAATACAGCTTACTATGGAATGACAAAAAAAACACAGCATGTTGTGTTTACCTCAGAGAAAAGTTGCTTTTTTACAGCATGAGCTTGTTGGAAATGTGGTTTCCAGAGTATATTGGTCTGATGTTGCCATTATGAATGAATGAAATTCCTTTTGCCCAGAATATAATGAGCGTCTGTGTGCACACTGCAAGCAGGCTTGTGGAGAGCCTGGCACCTGTGAATAAGAAAACCTGGACTGTCCTTAAGTTTTAAATGGAGACTGAACTCAGAAATAATAATATATATTTTGTGTGGTTGTTTATATTGCTACCTGCCATTATGTCCCTCCCCTAATGTTATTTCTTGAATGAAAAATACAATGCATTGATGTTTTTTTTTTTACAGTTTGTATGAAGCTGTTTATGTTAAGCTTTAAACAGTGTTGTTTAGAGCAGTAATGTGAAAAAAATGTGTGGCAAATAAAGAGAGCACCGGATTGCTTCTTTGTTACAAAGGAGGGAAATGATTCCTGTGTGTTTTATCTGTAGAAACAACCAAAGCAGATACAATGCAGGTAAACAGAGCCGTGGACACAATACAGCTTATGATACACTCAAGTACAGACTCATTTGCTGCAGTGGATTAGCTGATTTGTCCTTTTTTTTAAAGTGAAACTGCTGTGTAAGGTATGGATAGCATCAAGGAGGAGAAACCAAGAGTGTGAATCCATTGAGGAATTGTCTCAGGAATGCAGACCTACGTGAAAAACAAAACGCACTGCCTCGGGTGTGTCATTCAATGTCTTTGTAGACAGACCATAGAAACCACAAGCATGCAAATGTAACTGTTCTGATGTCATTGAAAAACATGTTTGTTTTGAAGAGGTCAGCTTGTCTTCACCAAAGGAAACTGTCAGCAGACACAGTGCTGATCCTTGGCTGCTAATGTCCGAGTTGAAGATCTCCTTAAGAGTTTAAATCCTATTACAGCGACCAAGGGAACTAGGTTTAGTTTAACACACAACGACAGCAATGAACCACGCTCATCAATGTCAACTTGGGTCTACAGGCTCCCGGCAAAACCACTTATGTGATGCTTCTGCACTTACTATGTGTGTAGCCATGCAGGGGGCTAAACACAGTTCCAACACAGAGACTGGCTAATTAAGTCTTTGCAGCAAGCAGCGTCGAACTGTGGAAGCAGTACTGGGCAACAACTTCTATTATAATGATAAAGAAATATATTGGTTAATTAGTAGCTGCCAATTTAGCGATGGTCCGCCATGAAAGATTGACATTAAAGCTGCATTTTACGACCAACTCTTTGTCCTTCATACAACTGACTTTGGGGATCTCTCACATTTCTACCATCCACTGGATGTGGCATAAATCAAAAGAAGCAAACTTAATCTAGTGAACATACACAGGGGTAAAAGTCAAAAATGATAAAATACATAACAGTTAACAGTATTTTAACAGTTTCTTTGAATGTTGTATTAGCATCACATCACCTCAGACAGTTAGCTAATGGCTAGCTTGGTCAGCAGCTGATCGCAGGACAATAAAACTCTACTAAATGTAGTTTTTTAACTATGTTCGGGAACAAAGACCACACCTCGATCACATCCAATTTCTGCCCAAAAGTAGTTCTCACATCCCAGCCCCTGAACGCCCTTTTGCCTCTTATATCTTCCTTCTCTCTTTTGTTTAAATACAGAAACCACAGGGGGCTCCATTCGAATCCGAGTTTATGAAGAGACATCTCCCTCAATCAAAGTTGCAACTCCCCTGGTACACTTCTCTGCTCCCCGGCCCGAGTTTTACCAACACGTTTATCATCACACTTGTCCATGCCCCAGAGAGCCAGCCTTCATCCCTCACACATCATCCTTCCCTCCAGAGCCTTAACCCATCATATGCAATAAAATACCCTAAATCTTTAACTTTATTAGCATGGTCTTTGTTAGTAAAATTGCAAATCAGCATGCACAAAATATTGTAATAAAAACAGTACCAACACACAATGATCTAACAAGGGTATCTGTGGAGTAGATAAAAGATGCCTGTCAATATTTGCCCGGTCACAAATCTGACAAAATGGCGGTTGTAACAAATGTCAGTCAACTTTAACAGCTGTCAAACTCTTTAAATAGTGGTTGCTACTTGCAACAGGATGTTGAACTGAAACCACCTGCTGGCAGAATGGAGACTAAATTACATGATCAAAAAATGATCCCAAGTAGTTTTGCAGATGATGTGTTTCTGTTAGCTTCATCACACTGTGACCTCCAGCAAGCACTGGGGCGGTTTGCAGCCTAGTGTGAAGCAGTCAGCATGAGAGTCAGCACCTCCAAGCCTGAGGCCGTGTTTTTTTTCTGGAAACCAGTGGATTTTGCCTCCAGGTTTGGAGAGAGTTACAGCCCCAAGCGAGGGAATTCAAGTATCGGTTTGCCGCAGCACCTGCACTGATGCAGGAGCTGTACGGGACTGTCGTGGTGAAGAGAGAGCTGAGTCAGAAGGTGAAGCTTTCAATTTATTGGTTCATTTGGTTCATCTACATCCCAACCCTCACCCATGGTCATGAGCTCTGGGTAGTGACTGAAAGAATGAGATTGCGGATACAAGCAGCCGAAATGACTTGCCTCCAAAGGGTGGCTGGGCTCAGCCTTAGAGATAGGGTAAGGAGCTCGGACATCCGGAGGGAGCTCAGAGTAGAGCCGCTGCTCCTTCTCGTCAAAAGAGGTCACTTGAGGTGGTTCGGGCATCTGATCATGTTACCTCATGGGTGCCTCCCATTTGCGGTGTTCTGGGCACGTTCCACTGTGGGAGGCCCCGGGGTAGACCCAAAACAAACTGGAGGGATTACATATCTCATCTGGCTGGGGACACCTCGAGATCCCCAAGGAGGAGCTGGAAAGCGTTGCTGGGGAGAGGGATGTCTGAAGTGCTTTACTCAGCCTGCTGCTCCCGTGACCCGGCTTCGGATAAGCGGTTGAAAATGAATGGATGTATGAAATTTCATCCCCGGGCTTTGTTTCACCCTGTTGTCTCACGTGAAACTCAGTTTCAGTTCCTGTTAAAGTGTCAGTTATTCTCAACTGCCAATTTAACAAATAATGTCACACATACCTCTACATGTATTTTTTTAAGGAATGTGTTGATGTATGAAATTCCTCACTATTGTCTCTTTATTGACTAAAGTCTGCTGACCCTATTGAGCAAATTTGATTAAGCGGCTAAACAGCAGTAGAGCTGGTATACTACCCAGAGAGTAATATGAATAGCTGCTCTTTCCAAGCACTTTAATTTGAAGCGATGCATGTGGTGCATAAAGAGAACTTAGCAGGGGTCTAGAAATAGGCGTGAGTGAAATTTCCTGGGGAAATTGCAAAAAACTATTTTACAAAAGAGCTGGTTTCCATTCATTAGAAGAAAAACGTTGTCAGTGTGAGCAAGCATACAACGGAATTGCATGGTACACAATATACATCAATAAATGAATAAATACTTTTAAAATTAGTCAGTAAAAACAAGGCACTACAATTGTACAATTATAATTAATTAATACAATATGAAAGGGGGCAGTGAGGAAGGGTGATGGCTCTGAATCAATCACACAATTGTGTTGTATATCACTAAAAAATGTGAAGACTATTGCATAATTATTACGTGTACTTAATAGATACTGAATCATGACTCCACGTACGTCTGTTCACTGAAAAACTGCTCATCTTGCTGTGGCATCACTTCTACCTCCCCCACTTCTGAAATCTGACCCATCATGTTTTCTGTTGCACCACAGAGCTCTCTCTTGTTGTCACGTTGACATCGACAATAGTCTTTATTGAAAGCAGCTCCATTCACTCTCACATGTCACATGTCTCACTTCATCTTACCAGGCAGTGATGCCACTGGAGAAACAAGCAACTCAGAGTGCAGAATGTGCAGTGGCAGCTCTAAAAGAATTGGCACTGAATGGTTATAAATTGAATCTTCCTCACACTACACTTACTTATTTTCCTCACACTTTGCCAGCCCACTGGAGATAATGGCTACTTAAGTAAGTTCACACTAGGATCTTTCCAGCTCCTGTGAGACAATAGGAAAACTGTGAGGAGACAACAATGATAAGAGGATCCTTTTAACAGTACTGACTGTTTAAAAATTCAAAGAGTGGGAGAATAATGGATGCAAATTGCTCCATAAGTGGTCTTGAACTCCACCTATAAGACAGTAGAGAGCAGAGAGAGCAAAGTACTCAACTGACACAATAACTGTATGACCTTCTCTTGTTCCTGTTTGAAGGGAGACAAAAACACAAAGTACAACAGCATTGGGTAATAAGGGTGTGAACAGCAGGGTGAATCCCTCGAGAGGAATTAAATTCACAGTAGTGGTAGTCATATTGTTAAGGCCAAAACACACCGGCGGCGGCTCGACGCGCGTCGACGTGCCGCACCGCAGCACTAAGCTATTGTCCTATTTTTCCAGCGTCACCGCTTTTGGCCTTTATTTTCAACATGGGCGGCTGGTTTGGTTAGAAACGTCTCCCATTTTATCTGTGACAGATGGTACAGTGACGAAGACAATAAGATAATAATCAGGTGTTAAAACCGCACTAGAAGTCTAGTAGAATAATCTACAGCAGGGAACTTTGCTCAACTTCCTTTGCACGGGGGCGTCTTCTGCAAATTGACAGGAGGCCAGCTAATAAACAAGCGCTGATATATTTAGCAGATAAAATGAATAAGCAGCCCTGCATAGGTCAGATGTACACAAGGGTGCTTCTAGGATTTCAGGACTTTCGGGGCTCAGCCTGGACCTCTGTTGGGGGGTTCAGGAGATCTTCCTCTAACACTTTTATTTACATACTCAAGCTCTATTTTGATGCTTTTTATGCTCTTTGGTACCTTACTAACATTCAAAGTGCAAAAAAAAGTCAGAGAGTGAATCAGTTTATTTTCACTGTGAATTAAAAGACGAATGGCGGGCCACATGGCATCCCATCTAGGGCCAGATTTGGCCTGCAGGCCTATGTTGAGGATTACTGATCTACAGTCCTGATAACAATAGAAGGAGCAGGATTGAAGCGTAAATAAAACACGTATTTGGGTTCTACTCGATTATGTAGATTTTTCATCTTCTTTTTCTTTCCTTTCTTTTTAAAATGTGATAGATTTAAATTTTATAATTTAATTTCTATATAAACAGGATATAAAAGTAGGGAGAAAGTGGATAAAATGGGACTCAATTACTTTGCTGCATTCCCTGCTTACATGTTGTGATATGTCATGGAGAATGGGTTTTTTTGTGTGTATGCTGGTACATTTGATAACAGTCTGACAAAGATAAACTCATGAAAGATTTAAAAAGAGATGCATAACAAACTACAGTGGGCTGTTCTAACAACAGGGCCAAATACAGTCCAGTGACTCATGTTTAAATGACCTTTGGTAACATATATGGGTTGAAAACTATAGTTGAGTCTCAGTAGCACAGTCTACTTTGTGGCATCTAAGG